TTTAATATAGAGTGAGAGAAACACGAGGAACATTCAAGGAAAATTATGAAATTTGGGCGCCAAAATTAAGCGTAACTCTCAAGTAACTAGGTGTTGCGTGACCTAGCACAACTTGGCGATTTTTGTTAGTAACGCAAGGAACGCGGGCAATGGGAAAGAGGGAGAATATCTGCATGGTATGAGCACAATACTCTCCGGGGTGATGACTAATCGTACCTTTGTATCCCATACGACAATCTTCTTTCTGTCACCACCGGACACCAACATGTCGCCCTTGAGGCGTAGACACCTGACCACGCCTATATGTTCGTATAGAGTATGTAATAACCGACCTAGAAGGAAAAATAAAGGGTTATTTTATTCAGGGACCGCGAAAGGGGAGGTCTCTACTTAAAAATAAAAAAGAAGTTGTATAAGAAATAAGATTTCTCTGACTTTTTTTCGTGACAGGATATTTTGTCCAAAGTTCAAATTGTTTCGAGTAGAGGTTAAATCATTGAGGACATTTTACGCTTTATTTTAGCGGTTTTTGTGAGTATTTGGACCCAGAAATACGCCACAACTTACATCTCTTTTTAGATTTTGATTGAACAATGAGCATTTTCATGTTATGGTGGTATTTAATACCTTGAAAGGTCCAGAGGCGGACGGTGCTGTCAGACGAGCCAGAAGCGATAACGTGTTCATTGAACACCAAGCAGTACTTTGAAATGAAATGGGGACAAGTTAGTARTAGAAACCACAGACGCCAACATTATARCTAATGTCCTTACGACTTCTCCAGTATGTCCAGTCATCTTRGCTTGAATATCCGCTGTGCTGGCGTYCCATACAATCACAAGGTTGTCTCCACCACCACTGACGATACGCTTKTCATCGAACTGGCAGCAGTACACAGCTRTAGGGCAGCAGTTAAAGAAGGAATATTCAGAAAAAAGCAGCAAAAATACTYAAAAGAAGAACAACTTTTATCGATACCCTGAAACAACCTTTGCGTTCGTCAAAGGAGAGGACTAATTCACAGATCGAATTGGAATTTACAGTAGCTGTTTTAGTTTTAAGGAGGCAGGAAAACCAGAAAACCCGAAGAAAAATCCTAGAATATAGGGAGAGACCTAACAAACTCTACCCAAATGTGATGCCAGGAATGGAGCCCAAGACCCCAGAAGTAAGAGGTTATTGCACTAACACTACRCCACAACTGAATGCCAAAACAGCGGGAAAAACGCGAAAACACTCAAAGCAAGAGGTACTAAGGCCCCGTCCACACGTATTCGCAAATTTTTTTTGCGGATACGGGTTGCGTCCACACGTGTTCGGAAATTTTTGTGACCGTATCCGCAAATTCTACGAAAACGGACACGTGTGGACGGTGAAAACGATTCGAATACGCTGCGTGTGGACGCAAACATTTTCGTATCCGCAAAAAAAATTTTGCGGATACAAAAATTTCCTGATACGTGTGGACGGGGCCTAAGAGACGCCAATTCTTACCTTCGGAATGACCGCGCAACGTCAGAAGACAAATACCAGCATCAATATCCCACACACGAATGGTCTCATCCCATGACGTAGTGATCACGTGATTGCYTCGCATCGACATGAACTAGAAAGATAGGCTCGTGTAAGTTTTAAGGGAGCACTGTCATGTTACGTCAAGCGACCTGGGTTTGGCTAATGCGCACGCGTAGAAAAGTCACGAACAGAAACGACATGCGATWAAGGTACGGTGCGCATTCGGAAAATGAACGATAAGYYGACGAATTTTTGTTAGAGTGTGACGTCATTCGCATGGAAACTCGACACCGGGGTCCTAAACAAAACAACAGTCCTGTAAAGGTACGGACACACGGTGAAACATTGCGCGCAACACTGCACGCAACAGGACTGTTRCAGCGTGTGTCTACCCTAAACTTGTTGCACGCAACGTCGGTTACATGCAACAAATCTGAAGTTGAATCGCGCTCTACTCTTGTAACATTGCGCGCAACAAATTTCATCATGTGAACATGGCTGCGACATTACCTGCAACATTTTGAAATTTCCAGCCAATCAGCTTGCACCAAATTTATAACTGCTGACCAAATATCTTAACATAGCAGGCTGACACAAGCGATGTTGCGTGATTTTGTTGCAATGTGTGTCAMCCCGATTCAAATTTGTTGCTTGCAATGTTGCTCCGTGTGCCAGCACCTCAAAGCTTTTCCTTCATAGTAGGATTCGTCGTTCACAGGAGAGGATAAGGTTTGGATCATTACTAGCTGTTTTCATTCCATCTGGACTGAGGTTCCCATGTCTTATTTTATTTTATTCTTTCTGGAGTGATAGCAAATCAACCATATTGCAAAATTTAACCAATGCGAATATTTACAGATTACCCATAGTTTACCCATGTRATCTGAGAAAACATTTTACGTCAATCAGAAGCGAGAAAATTTGCACAACTGAGGTGTCACCTTTCCTCTTGAAATTATGGGGGGGAAATGTCGCTAACAAGTGGTAACAGTAACACAATTACTAATGAGTTTTATATATTTTTATTGTAATGGTGGACTGGTTTTTATTTTTTCGCTGCTYAATTTTCACAGGCTTCATGACACCTCAGTTTTRCAGTGACATCATTCCTACGTCAATATTTCAGATCAGCTGGCTACATTCTTCCGAGTACCAGTCTTTACAAGTCTTCTTTATGTAAACCATRGATTTATATACCGAAATGACGCGAGAAAACAAATCATCTTACCAATATTTCATCTGTGTGACCAGTGAGAGTATGCAACATCTTACCAGTTTTCACGTTCCACACACGCACCGTTCTGTAATAAATATTTTAACATARTATTAGTAGGTAAATCTTAAATTTTGTCAAAACATTGGCGCGTAAATGCATTTATGAGCATAACCACGACTTGACATTTTGTAATGTTTAATAAACGAGCAGGAGTGTTTTATCGGGTATTAGTGGTTTAGTGGTTTTAGACCCGATAAAACACGATCTGCGAGTTTATTAAACGGCTTAGAAAACTCATGATGTATGTTCTCATATTGTACTGAATTCTTTACGAAATGAACCAAGCTTGATAGGGAAAATCCAAGTTAAAGTTTATGCAAATGAAGAGGAATCTATATGAGATATAAAACCTCCTTCATGGTCATGATTTCTATTTTTCCCTCATGAATTATTTATGAGTTTTCTAAACTATTATAAAGCACAGCTTTTGAAAGTCTAACAAAAATGGAAGCGCAAAACGTATAGTGAGCTGCGCTTTATATTACTGCATTTTATCATGATTTTTTTCAAGATAGGAGACTGATAGAACAAGACAGCTTTTTATAGAATGTGAATATTTTGTTAGTTAGAATGTCTCGCATTTTATCTTACTCAAATACATAACAGTTAGTTCTTAAATTCTTGTAAGGTCCATACCTGTCACTAGCAGCACTGACTATAGTCTGTCCATCAAAGCACATATGCTCGATTCCTCCTGAGTGTCCTTGRAGAGATCTTCGCCAGAACATAGAAAAAAAATCATAATTGTTGCTTGTCTTTAGTTATAGATCCACTTGCATGAGCCAATTCGTCTTYGTTGGAAACCAAGGGAATGTCATTCTGAGACCAATACAGGCTTTGGACCATCACGTGATTGCAGCCATATGGTATAGGAGKCAGGATRAATTGAATCTGGTCTAATATGATTGACATAAAGAAACAATTCGGTTTCCCAGGTTTTGCCATGGCTGTTATCACATGATGGTGCAGAGCCTCTATCTCTTTAGTTTGGACATAATGTTTTACCAATTTCAGACCATGTGTCATTTTCTTGGGAACAAGATTCTTTGTTTGAGTTGTGTCTTCGTATRTGCAACTATTAAACAAAGAAATGATACTCTAGAGAATGACAAGTGGTCTGAAATGGGAAAACTTTATTCCCAAACTAAAAAAATCTATTGCAGAGGGCATCATGCATGTATCATCGTGCATGTAACATCCCCTTAGCCGGGTTTTGTCCCTACGTACATCCAAATGTTTCTGATAACTACATTGCGTCAAACACTTAATACACAAATGATGGATGGATTGTAACTTGTAAAACATTGTAYAAATATATTTACCTCAGACACTGGCCCTTTTTAACATCAAACACTCTGATAACACCATCAGAACAACCAGAAACACAAAGAGAGTCCTACAAATAAAAACCTAAAATTAGCTGACAAATATTTTTTAGTCATTTTATTTGAAGTGAAAGGAAGTGAATAATTTTGATTTCAGAGGATCTCTTCCTCACATGCTTCTTTGCTTGCATGTCAGTGTGGTTGCCACAAAAATTAAGACTGAGACAAAGTAGCAATGGAGCCTCAGGCCTGAAGGTACAAGGAATTGGGCTTCACGGTACAAAATGAATACGTAAGACAGTAAAATTTGTACATACCTTAAGTTTTACACATCGAACTGAGTCTGTATGAGGCGTTTCTAGCACATGCTTACATTGATATTCCTTCAGATCCCAGACTCGGACAGTATTGTCAGATCCACCAGATACAAGAACCTTACCTTGAAAACAAGCATGATTTAAAACTATGAAATTATGAAATACTAAACACATGCATAGATATGTTAGCTTCCATTGCCATGACAACCTGCCTACGTTATTGACTGGGCCTATGGCCCATTTGAGTAACACTAAATTTTTATTTCAACAGAAACGACAAAGATATTTTATTCAGGTTTGTTCACCGAAGGGTGCCAAACATGTACTACGATCACTCCCAGTAAGGAGCTCTTTCGTGAGGTTCGCTCAACACGTTTCACTTCACTGTTCACTATTTACAATAGACAACACTTGATTCACATGCTGATGTTTACAGATGGAGGAAAACTCAAGTAACCAGAGGAAACCCCACCTGGCAAGGGAGAGAAGTACAAATGAAACAAACTCAACTCACATATGCTGTTAAATCAAGAATGAAACCCATGACCCTGAGCAAAAACTACACAGTTCATTATAAGCAGTACCACCCATTATAAAATAACTGCTCTAAATCTCGCAATCTGATTGATTAGGAGCGTGTGCTTTATGAGAGCACACAACACGCGCACGCACCTTCAGTTTCGTCATTCACATAATTTGTATTTTATAATGAAGAAATAAAAAGCTTGCTTGCTGTGCAGTGTGGAGTTATAAAGCACTTGGGGATTGACAGAACACTAACTTGAGAAGTGTCAAGAAGCACTCCGCTATGTGTCGTGCTTCTCCTAACACTTGCTTTATAACTGCACACAACATGTGCATGCGTTTTCTTTTTATACGAGCCTACTTGTAACCATTGCAAGTAATTTTTTTTTTCATTTTACATAAGTGTATGGTATAATAATAATCCATCTCACCATCAGAATCAATAGCATTCACAGGTTCCTTGTGTCCTCTCAGTATTGGAGCAATAGTGTACCGTCCCAGCTTCCAGTTTTGCTGTAAGTAGAATGCTCTAATATATATAGTTTTCCATCTACATGTTGCAGGATTTAGAACACTTTGTTCATCAGTAAAATGAAATGCAGGTAGAGGTGGAAGTTTTGAGGGAGAAGTTGGTCTGTTTATTACCGTAGATGACTCAATACACAGAGGTTGTTCTTCACCAAACTTTTCCCAACCTTTCTGAACACACAACTTGTGCCTATAAAGAAGATAAAATACCAGAGTAAGTTATTGCTTGGCTAAATTGGGAATTTTCAAAACAAGGACAGTTTTGAAGGCTATTGCTACCTGGTTACTGTATA